CTCAGCTTCCCAAGTAGCTGGGACTACAGGCACCTGCCACAACGCCTGGCTATTTTTTTGTTGCAGTTGTTTAGCTGTCCCAGGCTGGGTTCAAACCCGCCACACTCGGTGTATGTGGCTGGCACCATAAGCACTGTGCTACGGCCACCCAGCCATTAACATGAAATTTTAAAATGAAGGCCAACAAACTTTTTCATGTTCTCCAGTGGATTTGACTGAAGGAAAGATGTGAAAAATATTAAAGTCACATGTAGAAGGAGTCCTACAAGGAAAATTATTTTAAAAATACCTTTGTATGTATAAATGTATCTGTTTTTTGTTAGTGTGTATATACCTATGGACTATGTAAAATTGAATTTTAGAGACCTTATAGACAGTTCCTGCTGAGTTTTATGATGGCCCATTGTGGTTTCCCACCCAGGACACAGATCTGGTGGTCAGTGACATTGCAGCAGGTCTTGCCCTTCTCCGTCAGCAACAGGACAATTTCAGGAATAACCAGGAGCCCGATGAGGTAATCAGCCACTCCCCAGGGCCCTCCCAGGTAAGCCCGTGTTCCTATTGGATTGTACAGTTTTGACATTTAGTTTATATCTCTTTGTAGATCTTCAATAATACATAGCTAGCCAACAGTAATTTCAGTAGTAATTGGGTTGGAATCTGATTTATGGCTTTTGATGGTTGTAATTTATCACTTGTCAGGTGAAGCTTTTCATCATCACCTGACAATCAGGTAGTTGGAGCTTTTTCCTGGCCAGTTCACTATCCATTATATTCTTTTTTTTGTTGAGACAGAGTCTCATTATGTTGCCCTTGGTAGAGTGCTGTAGTGTGACCTCACAGCAACTTCAAACTCTTGGGCTTAAGCAATTCTCTTGCCTCAGCCTCCAAAGTAGCTGGGACTGCGGGTGCCAACCACAACATCTAGCTATTTTTCGTTGTAATTGTCATTTGTTTGGTAGGCCTGGGCTGGACTGGATTCGAACACACCAGCTCCCATGTATGTGGCTGGCGCCCTAGCTACTTCAGCTATAGGCGCTGAGCCAATCCATTATATTCTTAAAGCCTTCTGTCTTTAGGTAACTTGCTGTTGGATTTTACATATCAGACACATTCCTTCTGGGATGCAATTTGTGATTCTTCCTGGAATATATGCTTTTTTCCTCTTGGCTGGCCTATAGAGCAGAAATAGTTCAGCTTTGCTTGATGATAGTTTTCCTACCACAGATTTTTATATTTTGGAAAGAGAAAATTGCACATAACCTATATATGTATGAGCCCTTGTTAAAGCGTTCAATTCCTGACAGCTTGTGTTTCAGTGGCATGGAAATCTGCTAGTCTATTGCACCTAGGTAAGAAGCACTGGCTTATTTCAGCAAGAGTCAGAAAAATCATTAGGGCTTTTTTTGGCTGTTAACTCTATCTGTACTTGCTGCATTCCTATAAATTGAGGGTCTGTCTCAATCTGTATTTAGGAACCAGTTTTCCCTTTGTCCTCTGAGAGATCTACTTCATGAGGAAAGAGCAGAAAGAATCAGGAGTTTGAATTTAGGTTTAAGATCTAGTGTGTTGATTCTTTACATAATGAGTTCCCCTAAATAAGTTTTTTTCCTCTTCCAGGAAGCTGATTTGGATGCAGAATTAGAAAATTGCCGCCATTATATGCAGTTTGCAGCAGCTGCCTATGGGTGGCCACTTTACATTTATAGAAACCCATTTACAGGACTGTGCAAGATTGGTGGTGACTGGTAGGTTGGCATTGTCTGAGGCCTCCATATTTCCCTTTAAAAAAATCTATTTGGAGATATTTCTAAAACTCTAAGAATAGTACAAAGAACTCCCATAAATCCTTTATCTGGAGTCACCAGTTGTGACTCATTTTATTTTTTCACATGTGCTACCTCTCTCTCTCTCTATATATATACACACACACACATTTATATATCCTATCATATAAATTTTTTTATTCTATGTACATATTTTCCCCCTGAACCATTTTACAATTCGTTGTAGATACTGTGATCCCTTATCTCTTAATTTCTTCAGCCTGAGTTTCCTAAGAACAAAGGAACAAACTTTTCTTGTAATAAAATTATAAAATTTAGGATATTTATCATTGATCTTGAGCTAATTTACAAGTTCACAGTTTTCCTAATTTGGGTTCACATTTTTCCAATTATCCTAGTAATATCCTTTTTTTTTTATAATTTTTTTTTTTTTGGCCAGGGCTGGGTTTGAACCCACCACCTCTGGTATATGGGGCTGGCACCCTACTCCTTTGAGCCAGAAGTGTTGCCTCCAGTAATATCCTTTTCAGCAAGTTTTCTTCCAATTCATGATGACACGTTGCATTTAGTTGTCATGTCTCCTTAGTCTCCTTCAGTTTGCAATAGTTCCTCAGCTATTCTTTGTCTTTTATGATAGTTGATATTTTGAAGAGGACAGTATAGGTAGTTTGTAGACTGGCCCTCAATTTCCATTTGTATGGGGATTTTTTTGTCATTAGATTCAAATTTTGAATTTTTGGATGGAATACTTTATGAGCAACATTGTTCCCTTCTTAGTACATCATATCAGGAGATACATGATGCCAGGTTGTCCTATTCCTGGTAATATTAATGTTGATTGCTTGACTGAAGTGGTAATGCCAGGTTTTGCCACATAATTCATCTTTGGGGAGATAGTCTAAGACCATTTAAATATCCTGTTCCTCTCTAGACTTTCACTTGGTACTCTCAGTATTTGTTTTTTTTGTTTGTTTGTTTTTTTGAGACAGAGTCTCACTTTGTCACCCTGGGTAGAGTGCTGTGGCATCACAGCTCACAACAACCTCAAACTCTTAGTCTCAAGCCATTCTCTTGTCTCAGCCTTCTGAGTAGCAGAGACTACAGGTGTCCACCTCAGCACCTGGTTATTTTTAGAGAAGAGGTCTTGCTCTTGCTCAGGCTGATCTCAAACTGGGGAGCTCAGGCAGTCTACCTACCTTGGCCTCCCAGAGTGCTAGGATTATGGCACAAGCCACTGCACCTGGCCCTGTTTCCTTGGTTGTTTTTTTGATTTTTTTTTATAGACAGAGTCTCAATTTGTCGCTCAAAGTAGAGTGCCGTAGCATCACACATCAACAGCAACCTCTAGCTCTTGGGCTTAGGCGATTATCTTGCCTCAGCCTCCCAAGTAGCTCGTACTACAGGTGCCCACCACAATACCCGGCTACTTTTTGGTTGCAGTTTGGCCAGAGTTGGGTTCAAACCCTCCACCTTCGGTATAATGGGGCAGGCGCCCTACTCACTGAGCCACAGGTGCCACCAGCCCTGTTTCTTATCTGAATCAATTATTACCAGAATGATTACAAAATTGTGATTTTCTAAATTTACCATTTCCTCCACATTAGTTGTCATTCTACTGTGAAGAAGAGCTTTTTCTTCCCTGCAGTTTATTATCATTAGGTACTCACAGATTCTTACATTATTCAGTGGGTTATAATTCATTACTGTGTATTTATATATATATGTATATAAATGTAATATACTTTGTAGTAAGCATATTATTTATTTGATGTTCAGAATGTCCCAGATTTGGTCCTATAGACTGGCTCTTGAGTCTTTTTTTTTTTTTTTTAATGAAAAAGAGTCTCACTTTGTTGCCATCAGTAGAGTACCATAGCAACATAGCTCACAGCAACCTCAAACTCTTGGGCTCCAGTGATTCTCTTGCTTCTTGATTCTCTTTCTACTCAGCCTCCTGAGTAGCTGGGACTACAGGCGCCTGCCACAATGCCTGGCTATTTTTAGAGACAGGGGTCTTGCTCTTGCTCAGGCTGGTCTTGAACATGTGAGTTCAGCCAATCTGCCTACCTCAGTTACCCAGAGTGGTAGGATTACAGGCGTGAGCCACCACACCCGGCCTCTTGTATCTTTTTTTTTTTTTGAGACAGTCTCATTATGTCACCCTCGGTAGAGTGCCATAGTGTCACAGGTCACAGCAACCTCTGACTCTTTGGCTTAAGCAATTTTCTTGCCTCAGCCTTCTGTAGGTGGGACTACAGGCGCCTGCCATAACACCCGGATATATATATATATATATATATATATTTTTTTTAGTTGTAGTTGTTGTTTTGGCAGGACCAGGCTGGGTTTGAACCCGCCCACCCCAATGTATGTAACTGGTGCTGTCATGTTTGAGTACTTCCTGATTTTCTGACGTAAGTTGTTGCCAATTCAACTTTTCTTTCCCTGGAGTCATTTCTCCAGGGGATCCACTTCTTTTAGGCAGATACTTACATTTAGATGTCAAGATCTAAGTGCTTTATGTGCATATTACTCCTGGGGTGTTATTGCTTCTAGGCCTTTTCAGTGGAGATCTGGGGGGAGAAATTGCAATTTCATGTGGTTCATCCCAATATTTATTTATTTTAAAAATGTGAGTTCAAGTCTAAGCAAGAGCAAAACCCTGTTTCTACTAGACAAGTAGCCGGGTATTGTGGCAGGCATCTAGAGTCCCAGCTACTTGGGAGGCTGAGGCAAGGGGATCACTTGAATCCTAGAGTTTGAGGTTGGTAGGGGCTTATGACACCATGGCACTCTACCCAGGGTGACATAGTGAGACTCTATCTCAAAAAAGAAAAATTTTAAAAAATCATGAGTTTATACTAATATCTTTTGATCCAGGGCCACAGAATTTTTCTTTGTCTTTTCCCATATCATGGCTGTCTACTTTCTCCACAAATAGAACTCTGGCACCCAGCATCATTCCTCTAATATTCAGAATTGCTATACAAAAAAGTCATCTGCTAAGTAGAGCTTATGATTTCTTTGTAGTTCTTTTCATTTTTAGACATATTCAGAAGTTACTTCGATTAGTTCTTTTATGTTATTTCTTCTCCAGAGTTGGTTATATGTATTGTTCATTTAGAAGAATTTTTTTTTTTTTTTTTGAGACAGAGCCTCCAGCTATCCCCCTGGGTAGACTGCCCATGGCATCATAGCTCACAGCAACCTCTAACTCCTGGGCTCAAGCGAGACTCCTGCCTCTGCCTCCCAAGTAGCTGGGACTACAGGTGCCCGCCACAACGCCTGGCTATTTTTTGGTTGCAGCCATCACTGTTGTCTGGCAGGCCCAGGCTGGATTCAAACCCACCTGCTCAGGTGTATGTGGCTGGCGCCTTAGCAGCTTGAGCCACAGGTGCCGAGTCAGAGGAGTTTTATTCTCTTGATTCTTTTTTTTTTTCTGAGACAGAGTCTCACTTTATTACCCTTAGTAGAGTGCTGTGGCATCACAGCTCACAGCAATCTCCAACTCCTGGGCTTAGGCGATTCTCTTGCCTCAGCCTCCTGAGTAGCTGGGACCACAGGTGCCCACCACAATGCCCAGCTATATTCTCTTGCTTCTTTTGACATTCAGTTTTAGGGTCTCTCCCATCCTTGTTGATTTTAATTTCTTTTTCAAATAAAGCATTAACTTGATGCCAGAAGTCAAAACTCTACTAAAAGGTATGCACAGAGAAATGGTTATCTTTAAAATGCCTTTCTATATGAGTCAGGCTAAGTCCTAAGAATTGTAAACTCTAGTCCTAAAATGTGCAGCAAAAACATGATGATGAGGATTGATATCCTTGACAACTGGCTATAGCTGGCACAGTAACATCTTTGCCCTCTTTTTTCTAGTTGCAGAAGCAGAACAACAGAATATGACTTGATTGGAGGTGATCCGCTCAACTGTCATTTTGGCTCTATCCTGCAAACTACAGGGCTACAGTATAGGGATTTCATTCACATAAGCTTTCATGACAAGGTATGGTATAAGACAGCAATTCTGGCTCAGCGCCTGTGGCTCAAGTGGCTAAGGCGCCAGCCACATACACCTAAGGTGGCGGGTTCGAATCCGGCCTGGACCTGCCAAACAACGACGGCTGTCGTTGCAACCAAAAAATAGCCAAGCGTTGTGGTGGGCGCCTGTGGTCCCAGCTACTTGGGAGGCTGAGGCAGGATACTCACTTGAGCTCAGGACTTGGAGGTTGCTGTGAGCTGTGAAGCCATGGCACTCTACCCAGGGGGACAGCTTGAGGCTCTGTCTCAAAAAAAAAGACAGCAATTCTTAACTTTTCTCGGGTCCTAGGATTCTAGTGGAAGTTATGGGTTATTCTTCATACAATTCATAGACACACACTCTCAAATCCTGTGTACCATTTTAAGGGGTTCACAGAACCCCTTGAAAACCCATTGGTTCAGGTTCAAAACCCAGGTTTAACATTAGATAAAGAGGTCTTCATCAGAGATACCATATTGTGTATCTTACACCCATCTTTTATTGAAGAGCAACGAGTTCCTTCAGTATTAATTCTACGTAAGTTTTAGGGGTTAAAAATCCTTATTCTGGGTCTCAACTGTCAACAGCAGTGTAGTGCAATGGGTGTCACACCTGCTAGTTATCAGAGTGATAACTAGTTATCAGGGTGAATCTACAAAAGCCAGTTCTGTCCAGCTTCAGGATCCATGTTCAGCATTGCTTACTAGCTCTCCGGGTGGGTCTTATGTGCACCAAAATTGAAAACCCACTAGTATAACACAGTGGTTCTTAAACTTTGCTGCCTAATAAAATCTTTTGGGAGTTTTTAAAACATCTAAAGTCAGGCCACACCTTGGACCTTGGATCATTTAATCAAAATCAGGGATGAAACCCCAGCTCAGTGTTTTTTAAAGCCTCCAGTGGTTTTAGAGTATAGTTGACTTTGGGAACCACTACTCTCTGGCCTAGTGGTTTTTAAACTATTGTATTTTAGAATCACCTGGGGGGTTTCTAAAAATCCTGATGCCAGGCACAATGGTTCATACCTTCTTTAATCCTGGCACTTTTGGAGGCTAAGGCAGGAGGATTGCTTGAGGCTAGAAGTTCTGTATCAGTCA